GACCAAGGGTCGCATCACCTTCCGCTACAAGTAAGCGGCCGGGAGGGCGTGCGCCTTGTGCGCTGACCTGTGTCCCTCCGATCCGGCGCCGCCGGCGCCAGCCCACCTGCCGGACCTGGTGCTCGCCTCGGCCTCGCCGCGGCGGCTGGAGCTGTTGCGCCAGATCGGGCTGGAGCCGGCCCGCGTGCGCCCGGCCGAGCTGGACGAGACGCCGCGCCCCGGCGAGCTGCCGCGCGCCTACGCCCAGCGGCTGGCCCGCGCCAAGGCCGAGGCGCTGGCCGCGGCGGAGCCCGGCGCCTATCTGCTGGCCGCCGACACCGTGGTCGCGCTGGGCCGGCGCATCCTGCCCAAGGCCGAGGATGCCCTGACCGCGCGTGCCTGCCTGAAGCAGCTCTCCGGGCGGCGCCACCGGGTGCTGGGCGGCGTGGCGCTGCGCGCGCCGGACGGCCGCTGGGCCGAACGGGTCGTGATGACCAGCGTCGCCTTCAAGCGGCTGAGCGCCGAGGAGATCGAGGGCTACCTCGCCAGCGGCGAGTGGCGGGGCAAGGCCGGCGGCTATGCCATCCAGGGCCTGGCCGCGGCCTTCATTCCCTGGATCACCGGCTCCTACTCCAACGTCGTGGGCCTGCCGCTGGCCGAGACCGCCCAGCTTCTCACCGGCCTCGGCTACCCGCTGTTCCGAGCGCGCGGGCGGTGAGCGGCCGGCTGCTGCTGTCGATCCTGCCCGGCGAGCTGCGGGCCGCACGGCTGAACGCGGCGGGCCGCCTGGAGGACTATCTGGTGCAGCGCGCCGACGGCGGCGCGGCCGTGGGCGACGTCTGGGCGGCGCGGGTCGGACGCCTGCAGAAGGGGCTGGGCGCCTTCCTCGACCTGGGCGACTCGCGGCCGGCGCTGCTGGACTGGGCCGACTGCCCCCGGGCGGCCACCGAAGGCGCGGTGCTGGTGGTGCGGATCGCGCGCCTGCCGCGCGCCGGCAAGGGCGCCAAGGTCAAGCCGGCCGAGCCGCCGCGCCCGATCCCCCGGGACGCGGCCCTGCCGCTGCGCCTGGCGCGCGGCGACGACCCGCTCGATCTGCTCGGCCGCGACCTGGCCGAGGTGCTCTGCGACAACGGCGGCTGGCTGCCGGAGCTGCGCCGGCGCCTGCCCGAGACGGTGGCGGTGCGCCTGGCCGGGCCGCGCCCGCCGCTGTTCGATCCCGAGCTGGAGGCGGAGCTGGCCGGTCTGCTGGCACGCGAGGTGTCGCTGCCCGGCGGCGGGCGTCTGCTGGTCGAGCCGGTCGAGACCCTGACCGCGATCGACGTGGACTCCGGTGGCGGGCCGGCCGCCGGACAGGGCGCCCTGGAGACCAACCTGGAAGCGGCCGGCGAGATCGCCCGCCAGGTGCGGCTGCGCGCGCTGTCCGGCCTGATCGTCGTCGACTTTCTGGAGCTGCGCGGGCGCGGCCAGCGCGAGCGGCTGCATACCGCGCTCAAGCGGGCCTTCGCCGACGACCCGGTCGAGACCTCGGTCTTCCCGCCGCTGCCTTCCGGTCTGGTGGAGATCGCCCGGCAGCGCCGCCGGCCGCCTCTGCACGAGCTGCTCTGCCGCCAGGCCGGCTGGCAGCCCTCGGCCGAGACCCGGGCCTACGAGGCGCTGCGCCTGGCCCTGGCCCAGCCGCCGGCCGCCCGGCTCGGCCTGGCGCTGTCGCCGGACGCGGCCGCCGCGCTCGACGGTCCCCTGGCCGAGGCGCGCCACGCGGTGGAGGCCCGTCTCGGCACGCCCCTGCGGCTGCTGGCCCGTCCGCAGGCGCCCGGCCAGCCACCTGAAATCCTGACCGGCGCGATGTTAGAGTAAAGCCATGTCCGATGAGCGAGTCGTCTCCCTGACCGCGCGCCGCGGCGAGCGCTGCCCGGTCTGCCGCGCGCCCAGTGCCGAGCGCTACCGGCCCTTCTGTTCCAAGCGCTGCGCCGAGGTCGACCTGGGCCGCTGGCTGAAGGGCGGCTACCGCATTCCCACCGAGGAGGCGCCGGCGCCCGGCGAACCGGTGGAAACCGACGAGGACGAGCCGCGATGAGGCCGCCGGCCGGCGGCCGCGCCTTGGCGAAGCTCGCGCTGGCGGCGCTCACGCTTGGAACGGTCGTCCTGAAGCTGCTGCTGGCGACGGGGCCGGCCGCGGCACTGCCGCCGCAGACGCGCGAGTCCGTGGTCTCGGTGCTGCCGGTCTGGCCCGAGCGGCCCCAGGGCGGCACGCCCGGCGGCGCGGCCGGCGGCACACCCGGCGCGCCGGAGGGCAGCGGCGT